GTGTTTACAATGTACAGGTGGCACTGTATAAACAGACACTTCAAGAACAGACCCAGTCTCGTTCAGAGCATGATTCAAAGCCTACAAGAAGAACGGAGAATTCTGCTGAGACAGTTCCACTCCCTTCATCAAACAACAAAAGAGACAGAGTCAAATCTTCAAGGAAATGTCTGGAAAAAACACGTTTTACATATGAGCCACATTCAGAAAATAAAACCGACATTGGTGAGTTCAAAAGACAACTAGAACAACACGATGAAGAACTTCAAAAAGAAATGAATTTATATTTCAATACAATACAAAATTCTATAGAAAAAATTAAAGCAGCAATCAGAATCTCCCATTCTTCATTAGACGAAGAATGGGAGATTCTACTAGATACTATTAGATGTCAACACAAACATCAGGACCTGCAACAAAATCTTGAAAAATCGCGTCATTGTTACTACATGCTACATTCATAATATAAAAGGAGCCAGAGTTTATTTATTTATTTTTTATTTATTTACCAGTGGTCTTTCTGTGCGGAATTTACATGTTCTCCTTGTGCTTGTGTGGGTTTTCTCCGAGTACTCCGGTTTCCCCACCCCCCAAAACATGTACAATAGGTTGTCTTCAGGCCCAAGCGGCCCTGGGCCTGAAGGCAACCTAAAAAAAAACGGTAAATATAATAAATTTGTAAGTTACTCAGGTTACACACTTGCGTAACTTGTTTCAGGCTCTTTTTTTTTTAGGTCTTTTGCCCCTTTTTACTTACCAAGTCCTGGCTTTTAGTGTTTGCAGCAATGGACTGCCACACACCTGCCAGGACTCCCACACCGAACAAGCTTAGATAAAGACAAGCATTTGGCACCATCCACTCTCAGCTGCCTTGTACAGGTTCCTGCAGAACAAAGGTTCAAACTGTGAGCTAACAACTAGCAGGGAGACAGACATGCAGGAAAACTGGTCTGCACCGAGGTGGACCAGCTTCAGGCTGAGACCTGAGGCTGGTCCACCTCAGAGTCAGGTCATATTCCTATCTGCCTTCATCATCTTAAACACATGACCCACTCACACAACTGGGTTTATTGAAAAGGACCATCTGCTTTAAATGCTCCCGAGGATCAGTTCTGATAACATTTACTKTTAGAAATAAAGTATTTACCATGTAATTTACAGACAATCCGTACAACATGACATATATGTAGTAGCAATAGTGGTTTTACTGGCTTTGGCAACACGATGGCTAAGTGGTTAGCACAGACGCCTCACAGCAAGAAGGTCCTGGGTTCGATCCCYGGTTCGGACCTGGGGTCTTTCTGTGTGCAGTTTGCATGTTCTCCTTGTGCTTGCGTGGGTTTTCTCCGGGTACTCCGGCTTCCCCCACCCCACAAAAACATCTACAATACATGCCCTCCGATGGGATAAAGCAAGCCGCCCCACAGAGATGCAGACGAGACCTGTGAGATCATAAAAATATTCTGCTTTATTTACCAAAAGAGTTGCATTCAGGGAAGAAACAAATGCAAAAAACAAACAAACAAACAAAACAAATTTAAATCTGATTAGTGAACCTTTGTTGTCCCCTAGTGGTTAAGTTTGACTGTAAAACTGCACATTAAAGTAACAACAGCAATAGTAGCTAATATTAAGTCCTTCCTGTTAGTTCCAAACATTATTAGCATTATAAAACTTATTGCTGACATACAGAGTCCCAGAAGAGCTGTTTGTTAAGCTGTAGCTCAAAATCTTCTTTTAAAAAACTGGCATCTCCTCCGGTGTATCCAGCCAGTTCCTGTAAGGAAACAAACAAACAAACAAACAAACAAACAAACAAACAAACAAACAAACATATGAGAAAATATAACAATATCAGATG